TTAAAAATTATAAATTTATAAAGTAATAAAAGTAATAAAATATAAAAAATAAGTAAAAATATTATATTAGTTAGTAATTTATATTAATAATTATAATTAATAAAAGAAAGTATAAATAAAATAAATTAAAATTAATTAATATATTTATTATATTAAATTATAAAAATTTAAAGTAATAATAAAGTTAATAATTAATTAAGTATTAATAATTAATAAATTAAAAATTTAAAATTAATAATTAATTAAACTAATAGGTTAAGTTAACCTATAAATTTTAACCCTTTAAATAGAAGTCTTTAAAGGATATTAGGTAATTTAAGGGTTGCTAGAATACTTATTATCTATTTAAATAAATTACTTAGTAAATTATTAAGTATATATAATATTAAGCCTTTAAAGCCCTTAATACTATATATTTAATTATAAGAGAATATTTAAAAGGTTTTAATTAACTAGGTGGGGTAATATTATGGGTTTTACCTTATATTCACACTAATAAAATATAAGGGTAAATCCTATATAAAGCGGTTTAAAGCGATAAATATAAAAAAAGTTAAAAACATTAATTTACCCACTTTACCCTTTTTACTAACTACCTCTACTTTAAAGTTTTAAGTTTAAACTTTTAAAAAATTATATTTTTAATTTTTTTTTATTATTTTAATTTTTTTTTAAAGAATTTTTATTTATTATTTTTTTTAAAATTTTTTTTTTATTTTTTTTTATTTTTTTTATTTTATTTTTTATTTTTTTATTTTTTATTTTTATTTTTTATTTTTATTTTTTATTTTTTATTTTTATTTTTATTTTTTTATTTTTTTATTTTTTATTTTTTATTTTTTTATTTTTTTATTTTTATTTAATTTATTTATTTATTTTTATAAAAACTTTAAAATTATATATAAATATATTTTAATTTAATTAATAAATTTAATTTATTTATAATTAATTTATTATATTAATTTTAATTTAAATTATTTATTTTTAAATATTTTATTATAAATAATTACTATAAATAATTATTATAAATAATTATTATAAATAATTATTATAAATAATACTTTAATTAAATTAAATATTTTATTATTAATATTTAAATAATATTAATTTTATTAAAGTTAATTAAATTATAAATTTTATTAATTTATAAATTATTAAATATTATATTTATAATTATTTTTAAAACTTTAAAATTATAATTATTAAATTAAAAATTATTTTAATATTTTTTTATTTTTAAAAAATAAAAATTTAATTATTATTTTTAAATAAATATAATAATAATATATAATTTTATTTATTTAATATAATATAATTTTTATATTATAAAATTAATTTAAAAAATTTATAATTTTAAAAATTAAATATATTAAATATATAATATATTATAAAATAATAAAATTTATTATTAAATATTTATTAATTATTATAATTATTTTTATTTTTATTAAAATATTTTATAAAAGATTTTTATTATATAATTAATTATATAAATTATTTATATTTGTTTTAAATTTTATTATAAAATAAAAATAAAATTAAATTTAAAAATTTTTATATACTCTTTAAATTTAATTTAATTAAATATTTTATATAAAACTTTTATAATATTTATAATATTTATAATATTTATAATATTTATAATATTTATAATATTTATAATATTTATAATATTTATAATATTTATAATATTTATAATATTTATAATATTTATAATATTTATA